AAATTACAAAATTGCTATTTTTGAAATTTGGCCACGTGGCGCAGAAATAGGAGGTCTTTAGACCGAGCCAACCATAGCAACTCTTTTGGATCCTCATTATAAAAAGTTAGATTGCATTGATGATGAGAATGAAAAACAACAACTAAACATTATTGCCTCTTGAAGGATGAAAGAAAACATTATCATATTTATTAGATGAATTAAAAAGTTATTTGGAACTTTCATTAGCATCAAAGAATGAAAGTCCACTAGAATGGTCAAGTAAATGCCTTTTTTTCTGATGCTGGTAATATCATAAATCAAAAAAGAACCAATTTAAATTACAATTTAGTTGCTAAGATACTTTTTCTAAAGTGAATATGAAATTCATGAATGTTTTTGTACCAAGTTGGGATGTTAATGAAGATATAGAATAGAATCAAAGTAATTTATTCTAATTACTAAAGTTTTTATTTTTTATGGTAACCATAGTCTAAACTAAATTGTTTAGATAATGTCTAAAGTATAAATTAATTTATAATTTACTGAACCTTGTGGCTTTTTTTACATATGCGCTGATTTTATTTGAACCCCAAAATCCAGTACGGTATAATCATAACGTTATGAATACTTTATACTAGCAAAGGCCCATTGGTTTTGGGATGAATCCATTGGTTTGACGGGCTATCGAATAGTAAAAATAGTTTTTTTTGGCGGAGCAAATAAATTTTTGGGGGTTAATTATCATTCTATTGACCAGTTTACACATCATGTTTAACGTGTTTAACATCGAGACACAATAAGATATAAGGTTTGAAAAAAGGATCCAAAAAACCAAATCATTATCTTTTGTTATAGAAGTTTGCCTAAACTACCAGATTTTGGCAATAGTTTCAGCAAATTAAAAAATTTAGTTTCGCTTTTCAAGCAAGCAAAATGCCATAATTTTAGGCATAATTGTTTTTGCCGAAACTAAATCTATGTGCCGAAACTATCCCTTAAACGAATTTTGGACCAAATCTGGTCCAAAATTCCAATTCTGGTATTTCACAGCTAATAAAAGTTTTGCAGTATAACTCTGGGTGTGTCATGTATTATTTAAAAAATGTTCTCAAATGGTATCTTAATATGTAAATAAATAAAAAATGGTCATTATTGTGCAAGTTCTCTAAAATTATACTATGCTTTGTTCACGGAGTACAAAATCTACAAATTTTCCGAAATAACCAAAGGATTTCCGAATTTCTTTTTTTGGTATCATGCGATTTTTTTAACAATTATTATTATGTACTGATCCAAAATTTAAATGGCATGAGTTAAGGTTGCTTGCTGAAACTCCTCCAGAAATCAATCAGCAGGGTTTCGGCAGGTTACACATTAATTGTTTATTAGAGTTTTGGCAGAGTTTCGCATTTTGAGGTTTCGCCTTTCGGCATAGTTTCAACAGGATTTTTGATAAGATTTAATATAGTTTTGCCATGGTTTCAGCAATTACTAAGGAGGTTTCGCCCACAATCTTATTTCTGATACACCTAAAACATCTATTGAGTAGTGACTAATTAATGGGTGTTTTGTTTGATAATTTGTGTTTAATCCTCTAGTATTTATTGTGGCTATACATGCAGCCCAAAGTATTTTGACACTGTCATAAAGGGGGTTACACATGTAGTAAAGGGGTGTTATACTTATGTTTTTAATAGTGAATGCCGTAATTAATTTCTACTTTCTAACATCAAAATTGGAATAATTTTGACCATCAAAATCACCAAACCAATTTGGGCTGCATGTATAATTGTGGCAAAATTTCCTATGATAGTTGAGAGTAATGAGAGTTGTAAAAAATTTGATGGACAAGATTGTATGTTAATGTATTTATGTGTTAAGAGAGAGTATGTTCATCTGAAAGTAGAATATGTGATTCACTATATGTTGAGTTGACTGAAAATTTTATGGAAGTGGTATCTATATTAGGGTGATTGTTTTTTAAACATCAATGAATGAATTAATGGTTCGTGGGTGATTTATGGGTTCATGAGAGTAAAATTTGTTAAAACATTCCATTTTGTAGCTTATATGGAAGTAACAACCTGAAAAGGTTTATATGATTCTAAAAGCGAGTCAATGTTGGTGCAAAAGTTTGAAGAATAGTATCATCAATGTGAGTCATTGCATAATCTGTACCAAATGTTGTTGCTTGACAATAATTGAAAACAGCTGATTCAAGATGATAATCAAGATTTGTCTGTGATCTTTATCCTGTTTGCTTTTATCAAAATTTGGTATAAAATCTTTTATGATAAGATCAATAAGAGTTTGTTTATTAGCAATGTTTTCAACTTTTAAATTAACTGCTTCATGTAATTTGGCAGTTGGGAAAGGTCCTGAAATATTAGTGTCAATGCTTGAAAAATCAATTATAGGGAGAGTTAATGTGGATTGGAATATTGGGCATGTTGTCAGATGTTTATTCTTTTCTAAGCACCACAGTGTGTGCAAGTTTTGGGATGCCAATTTTCCATTTGACAAACTGCATATTGTCTAGTTTTAAGGGAATTTATTGTAAGACACAATTTTCAATCTCACAATGCTTCCACATTGGCATGAACAAAATATCTCAATAAATATACTTTAGCTGGTTGCAAGTCAAGTAGTTTTAACTGAATCAAGAAAAGATCTAAGATGCAAATCACTATATTCTTTATTAGATGTACCAAATGCACTCATTCTTTGTTATTACCTGGGCAAGTTCAACTGTAAAATCAGGTCAAGTATATTACTCAAATATTTTTAGTATGGGTATGTTTAATCCTTTTTTCTCATATACTGGGATTGTTAAGTATATATATATATATATCTGAAATTTGATTAAATGAATTACTACCTGTTAGCACAAATTTTGGTCCAAGGATGTTAGGGACATGTAAAAATCTTGCAAATTTTGGTCCAAAAACTGGCCAATAATGGTCAAATTTCTCTTTTGAGCCAAGAATTACCAAGTATCAGATTTAATGTTCTAGATGGCAAAGCAATATATTCTGGGTGGAAATTGGTCCAAGGAGGTCAAGGAAAAATCAGAAAATTATATATACAATGAGAGGTCCACTGTATAGTTTTTGAAAATCCTCTTTGGACTATTGGACCAGTATAGATTGTGTAGATTTGACATGATTTGATTTATTTTATAATGATTTTGATTAATGTTGGTTGCCAAACTATTTTGAAGAGGTGAAAGTCAAAACTAAGATTAAGAGTTATATTTCAAAATTAAATCAAAAGTCAATAGTCAAAATTAGTATTAGCTTATGGTGAAACCTTTGACTTTTGCAGTTATGAAACCCCTCTAGTTTTGGAAACCGATGCTAATTTTGATATATTCCTTATATGGTATGGATTTGGTGGGATAATGGGGAATCTAGTTATATGGGGCCTGAAAAGGCCCTGACTCTACATGAGCAAAGAAAATTTCAAAACTTAATGGCCAACAACCAGATCATCAATTAAATTTTTTAATCTATTGTTTTGCATAATAAATAAATTACCTTACACATATTATTATTAGAAGTCAAGAGGTGCCATGAATTGATGATAATAAATTAATTAACTTGCCTTATTATTTTATTATTTTCTTTACAGACAAAAAACTCCTTTTGTTAAAGCTTCAGCTTTTGTTTTTATTTATTTATTTTTATTTTTTAATCAACTATATTTCCTTTTTTTAAATGAAAATTATATTTACCTTTATAGCCACTAAATAATAATATAATTTTTTTGTAATCTCATAATTTATTAGTTATTCAGTGATAATGACTAATAACAATCCTTTTTTAACCAATATTTTAACTGATTAGGGTAAATGGAATAAACCAGCATGTTTTTTCTTTTAGGGAGAGAAATAATAAACAACTCCATTTTTCTTTCTTGTCAATAAGCAGTGATTATATGGTTCAAAAATTCATTTATCCCAAATAAATTTTATCACCAAATACTGAAAGCCTTGCATGATCTTCAATAGTCCTTTCAGTAATATAAACCCACATGTATTTCTCCAAAGATTATACATGCACATATGGGATTAATTATGAATATACCTGAATAACCTAATGAATAATCTCTGGTAAATTAAACAATCCATATAAAGATTTATAAATAAATCTCCTGTTTGCTCAATGTAATAGAGCACAGCTTTATGAGGGCATGAAGATTTT